AGGATAAACTTGAATGAGTTCGCGAACCAGTATGATCGGACGATGGGAACGGGGTTTTACGGGGGGTTTTATGGGGTAAAAAATGGTTTTTTTATTTTTGACCCTCAAAACACAAAATTTCCCAATTTTTCTCTAGACCTTTTGAAAGAGCTTAACAAAACAAATAATTTAGTATATCAAAGTGTTTTTGTACGGTTATTAGTAACGGAGAAAATTCAAAAAGTTATAAATTTAAAGTTCCAATTTATTCTTAAGGAGAATATTGTAAAATTTAGTAGTTTGCTTGTTTATGGATATATTTTGATAAAACTTGGCAAATTGTTTATTTTACACTAAGCTATTAATATTTTACTAAAAACCGCCACAGTAGTTTCCTTGTAGCAGCAAACCTAGGTATTCGTTAAACATAATGTTATTTAAGTAGATTTAATTGAAAATCAATTCAGACAAATGGAAATTCGCTTAGTTGGCAGGTTTGCTGCGGTGGGGATATTTTTAATTTAAGACAACTAACAGCAGCAACCAAAAGGTGAGTGAGCGTAGCGAACGAACTTCAACCTGGAGGCGAGTTAGCGTAGAGAACGAGCTAAACCTGAAGGCAAGTGAGCGCAGCGAACGAGCTCCAACCTAAAGGTGAGTAAGCGTAGCAAACGAACTTCAACCAGGACGTGATTGAGCGATGCGAACAAGCTCATCTTGAAAATGAACGAGCATTTGACATAAAACCACATTTAGGACAGGATCGTCTGTCGGGCCAGCTAGTTATATATAAGGATACAGTTGTTCGTTGTACACCAAATTTTATCAAGAATTCTCCAGTTTTGTTTTCTGTCAGCGTTATTATAAGCATTGATAAGACCATATATGAAACGTGTTTGGTCAGTCTATTCTATGTCAAAACGGCGTAGCGAATTTTATCCCCCCGGAATTAATTTTATCCCCTGAACAAAACTGACGTCACAAACCAGAGGGTGAAATTCCGGCAGCGAACTTTTGAGTTACACAACGCACAACTCCAGTACAATTAATAAAGATGGAATTAAAATTATTTTTCTACGGTTGTGAATTTAACACGTCAAATTATAAAACCTAGAGTGTACGGGCCATAATTTAACCCCCGTAATCTACCCCCTTCTTGAGGTCAGCTCAAAATGTACGTTCCATATTTTACCCCACCCCCAGATTTTTACCCCTGAATTTCACCCCCTGGCCATATGTGATGTGGAAAGCGAAAATGGACCTCTTGTATGCGACGCAAAATTTTCAGTACGGCCAATATAAGTAATAAAGCTCGAAACTATCCAAATTATGTTTTTTAAATCTTGTTTTATACCTAGTTTAACATAGAACAGGACAGTATCGGTTAAAATATCAAATTGAAGATGTGTTCCGCCCACGGCTTCCGCCCATGTGCCGCCTCTACATACTTCTGCCTCCTGACCACCATCATCCACCTCTTGCTACTTCAATTGCTGTCAAGCAACAGAAGTTTAAAACTTTTAAGGATGTCGGAAGAAACTTGAAGAAGTGCGATCTAGTTACTGCTTACAATATGATTGCTTGTCACGATTTGGACTTACTTGGCACTTCTCCTTCCCATCTCGATGATGACTTCGCTAAGCTGACTGGGATTCTGAGAAACGCAGCTCTGCAGTCAAGCCCCATGAAAATGTTCGGTAATCTTCATTTCCCTATTTGGTTTTCTCGTGATCTTAACAAGTTGACTGTCGAGAAAAAAAGTGTTCACAGGAAGTACAAGGAGAGCTTTAGCCCTTCGCTCTACTTCAAATTCTCCCAACTTCGCTAAACGTTTAAGGAACTAGCTAGGATATGCCATGAAAACTACCTATCCCAGCTTGAAGATCGCATCCCCTCTAATCCACGGGTGTTCTGGAGTTTCGTCAACTCAGCCAGAAATTCCTCGTCCATGCCACATACTATGCACTTCGATAATGTTTCTGCAGAAGACCTGGCTGATAAATGTGACCTCTTTGCTAATTTCTTTGGCTCAGTTTATTCTGAATCTTCAGTCCTAGCACCCGTCTTTGATTTCCTGTCTATCAACTCGATCAGCACACTGCATATCACACCGGATGCAATCAAGCGCAAGTTAGCTCAGCTAGACCCGTCTCTCTAAGAATGCAGGCCCTGATGAAATTCCTCCTTCTTTATTGCGGCATTGTTGTGATATTCTGGCGACCCCTCTTCAACGTCTCTTTAACATTTCCCTCTCTAGTGGAAAATTCCCTGAATGCCTGAAGTTTGGTCATATTGTTCCGCTGCTTAAGTCCGGTGATCCCTGTGACATTAAGAACTATCGCCCAATAACCATATTGTCTGCCATCTCTAAAGTCTTCGAGAGCTTGGTTTTGGACATGCTGAAGCCTGTCTTTGGGGGAATCATTCATGACAGTCAGCATGGATTTGTCACCAGAAGGTCTACAACAACCAACCTACTGCTTATTCAAGAAAAGGCTCTCTCGGCAGTTAGAAAAGGATCCCAACTGGATACTGTTGATATTGATTTTGCTAAAGCGTCCGACAAGGTGGATCACAACATTCTCATCTCTAAACTTAAGGGGTATGGATTCCTTAACCCATTGGTCAGTTGGATTCAAGACTACCTGACTGATCGTCACTTGGCTGTCAGGATTGGCTCCGTTGTGTCAAGACCTTTTTATCAGACTTCTGGGGTTCCACAGGGTTCACATTTGGGACCGTACCTCTTCAATGTATTCATCAATGATCTTCTTGACCAGATGGACGTTGGTGCCCTCATATTCGCCGATGGCCTGAAGCTTTTTTTCGAGGTGTCTTCTGACAATAACGCTGCACAGTTACAGATGAACCTGGATAAGGTTATGATATGGTATGAGGACAATAATATGAAGATAAATCCCAGCAAATTTTCTGTTATAACGTACCATCGCTCTCTTAATCCGCTCATCTTTTTGTACTTTTTGGGAGTAGATAGTATTCCAAGTACCACGACCATCAAAGACCTAGGAATGATTTTCTCACACGACCTACGGTTTGGTGATCATGTGGACCATGTTACCAGGAAAGGAAACAAAATGCTGGGATTCATCATACGATTCACACGAGGTATCCGATGTCCCCATGCTTTGAAGTCTCTGTACTGCGCATTAGTCAGACAAGGTCTTGAATATGCTTCTGTGGTCTGGTCGCCATACACGGAATTTGACAGGCAACGCTTGGACGCCATCCAGAAAAGATTTCTTCGTCTGGTCTGCGTTAGAAATGGCTACTCCTATAGAGACGCTCCCGTGGACGACTGTGTACAGATGATGGGATTGCATCCTTTAGACCTTCGGAGAGATGTGGTTGACCTGTGTCTCCTATACAACATTATGAATGGCATTCTCAGTTGCTCCGAACTTCTTCTAGAGATCGACATCAGGGTCCCAGGCAGAACTCGTCTCAGAGCATTTTTTGGCCGGCGTTTCAGGTCAACATCCTATGACGCCAACAGTCCACTCGCTAGGATTCTTCGCCTGGGAAACACGGTGTCAAGCGCAGTGGACTTCTTCTTCGACGGCTTCAAACTAGCTCGAATAAAGTTCCTCACTGTCCTTGGCGAGCAACGAAATGCAATTCCTTAATCGAACTTTTGTCGATGCATTGTCTCACCACCAATCTTTTTTGTTGTTATTCAGCCTACGCTATTTTTCAACTTTTTGTCATTCATTATATTCATTTACATATTTATTGTAGCGGGTATTGTTGTTTATTTATATTGTTGTTACTTATATTGCTATTTATTTATATTGTTATTTATTTATATTGTTATTTATTTATATTGTATTTATTTATATTGTATTAGCGAATTTCCCTATAGGGAAGTAGCTATTACCGTAGGTGGCATGGTAAAACCTAAGCCCGGGAGCGATTTACTTTTTCATTTTGATGTCCCCAGAGGCCAAAAACACCATTGGTTCAAATTTTTATATATGTATATATATATATATATATATAGATTTATATATATATATATATATGTGTCCGTGAACGCGATAACTTGAGTAATTTTTGTCCGATTTTGATGAAATTTGGTTTAAAGGTGTAAAGCGGGATAAACTTGAATGAGTTCGCGAACCAGCATGATCGGACCATGGGAACAGGGCTTTACGGGGGGTTTTATGGGGTAAAAATTGGTTTTTCTCACTTTTGACCCTCAAAACACAAAGTTTCCCAATTTCTCTTTATACCTTTTTAAAGAGCTCAAAAAAACAAATAATTTAGTATATAAAAGTATTTTTGTACGGTTATTGGTAACGGAGAAAATTTAAAAAATTTTAAATTAAAAATTCCCATGTTATTCTTATGGAGAATATTGTAAAATGTTGTAGTTTGGTTGTTTATGGATATATTTTGATCAATCTTGGCAAACTTATTTATTTAGTACTAAGCTATTAATATTTTACTAAAAAACACACTTTATTAGTTTCCTTGTAGCAGCAAACCTAGGTACTCACTTAAATATATTTAATTGAAAATCAATTCAGACAAATGGAAATTCGCTTAGTTGTCAGGTTTGCTGCGACGGGGGTATTTATTTATATTGTTATTAATTGTATCGTTATTGATTGTTGATTTTTTCTATTGTTCTATCGATTGTCACATTGTTTTTGTGTATAAGTTGGAAACTGTTTGTTGCTTTTTTTCAAATGGCTCTGCCGTTGGTATGTATAATAATAATAATAAAGGCGGCCATGGTTTGCTAGTCAATGGTTTTATCTATGGTATGAACATGAGATTGTAAAATAAATTCAGATAAAAAATCAATGGTATAAATATGTAGATCAACTTTGATGTAAGATGTAAGATGTAAGATCAACTTTACTGAAAACTGACTGACTCCCTACTCTACATAATCTACCGATCTGATGTCGAGTCGATGTCTGAGTCTGACTCTGAGGAGGGGAGTGAGATGGTAACAGGTTTTAAAAATGATGACGTCATTCCCAGGCGTGGCGAAGGGCGAAGGTAGTGAATGAAATGAAGATGGATTCCGATAAATTCACTCGTCATATTTTGTATTTATTGAGCCAAGTAGTGTCGTGAGAATTATTGTCTTTCATCTTTGGATATAATATAAACTCTTGTGATCCTAAGCGTACTTTTTATAAACTGCAGTGTGCCTAAATGCTTCAAGTGCTTAATTAAATGGACTAAGATATTTATTCCTGGATATAGCCTGAGCATAGTAAGTTATCTTAGCCTACATTTTAAATGTTTTTATTATCAATAAGCTAAATTAGGCTACCATTTTTTTGTCCGTCTAAAATAAACGTTATGAAATGTTTAATAGGCTTGTATTATTTAATATTGATCAGTTTGGTCAACTTATAAAGAGGGCATTATTTTGGTGCCCCAGGCCATCTCTCAGTTCTGACAGCTTTCACAGAATTTGGGGGCATGTAACAGTAAAAGTTAACATCATTGGGCGAAAGTATGTTTGTTTAAATATTTCAAAGTATATCCAAAATGGATAAAAAAGATTAATTCTTTACTTAACTAGGTTTTACAGTTTATTTAACTTGCTCAGGTTTCAAGCCAAAGTCACTTTATTAACTTAGGCCTAAGTTAGGCTTTAACTTATTTTAAAGTCTAGGCTTCAGAAAGTTTAAAATTTAGAGGGGTCCATCTTTAGCATTGGCTTAAGTCCTCAATATATAGGGCCCTAGGCTAACTATTTTAACCACGTTTGGAAGTAATTTAAGTTAGGGCTAAAACCTTATTTTTAGTGAATTTCCTATTTAACTTAAGTTAGCCTAAGTTTAGCCTAGGGAATAAGCTAGGCCTATTACCGTAGGGGCTGCACTTTACTTTAGGTCCTACACTCATTCAAATAAAAATATCGATTATTCGATTGTTTCATTCGATATATCGTTTGGTTAGTTAGGTTAACCTTAGGACCTAACTAACCAATCGATATATCGAATGAAACAATCGATTAATCGATCGATATTTTCATTCGAATGAGTGTAGGACCTAAAGTAAAGTGCAGCCCCGTAGGCTAGGTCTCATGGTGAACCTATACCTAGACCCAGGACCAATTTACTTTCTTTTCTGTTTTGAGGTCCCCTTACTTAGGCCCAAAACACCCTCCGTTAAAATTCACATAAACTTGTATATCTTTGGTCCTATATAGCCTAAGTTTATAGCAGCTCGTGTGCATCACAGGGAAAATCTACTCATACTGTTAAAATATATTTGCCTGGAGATGTGCAGAATCCAGTTAGGCTATAAATTAAAATAATAAAATTAAATGCTCAAAATAACTTAAAGCATAAAAAATTAATTTAAAATAAAAATAAAATTAAGTTAACTTGGGCTTTAAGATATGGGTTGCCATGATGATTAGGAAATATCGACAAAATATACCTACCTTTTAAAAACGGAAAATCTAAACAAATGAAAGAAATTCCAATCACATGTTCTAAGTTATTTATACTTAAGTTAGCGTGGCTTCATTGGCAACAAATAATGCAAATGACAAAGCAATGCTGCATTTCCAAAAATAAAATACTACTGTAAATTGTTACATAGTGACGTTTACATGCATTGTTGTTAATCAACGTATCTTAGAAAGGATGAGGATATCTAGTTCAAAAGGAACACGACCTTTCTGTCATGACAGTAACTGCTTAAATAGTGATCACTTAAAATTTGTTTTACAGTTGAAGTGTAGTTTTATTTTCACAAATATCTCACTTAAGGCTAACCAAGTAGGCCACTGCAAAACATATGTCAAGATATAGGTACTATTTTAGGCATGGTTTCTGTGTTTGGCTGTTATTAGACATGATAAGAGCACAATTAACTTCTTCTGCAGATAAATAATCCATTGGTTAAGAGAACTATAAGCCGAATTAATTAATCTCACAATCTAAGCACATTAAACTGGCTCTGGCCTGACTTTTTTGAAGTATCGAGTTTGGGCATTTTGTTAATGTTACTATCTGGGTAAGTTACCGGTGCACTTTGAGACATTTATTTTAGAGATAAATAAAATGGTTTTTGATGCTTTTTTGTTAGTTTAACCCTAGGAGCGCCTTTCGCTGACTAAGTCGGCGAATTGATGTGTGCGCTCGGCGCCCAATCGCCGACTAGTAGGCTATTGGGACATTTTTTTTTCAAACGCTTATTACGCAATGAAAATGATCCAGAAGTGTAATAATTTTGATACCCGTTGGAAAGAAGAGATTCTGAACTTTTATTTTCATATATAATCGAACCTTGTAGCACCAACAGATCAATAAATCCTATTATAATTTGAACAATATTTTGCGCACGTAAAATTTTCGAGTCGCGGTCGGCAAAATCTCGTAAAACACGTTATCTTGAAATAAATGTACAAGTCGTAATTTTGGCCTAAGCAGGAAGTGGCTGGTACCATTGGAAAGAACTTGAGTTGTTCTTTATTTTTGTATAGAGAACTTTGTCATATGAGGTTAAGAAGTCTGAAAAATATTTTTTTGAAATCAGCTGTTTTGTCAGTGGTAGGCTATTTTGCCCAAAACCTTGTGGTTTCTAAATCACGAATAAATATGTTGATAATTGACATAGAGTGATGAGAGTCATACCTATTTGAAGCTAAGAAAACGTTCTATCCCTATATTTTGGTGCCTTTCAGTATTGAGATTCAGGTGACACATTAGTTGTAACTAGAAAAACAAGTTGTTTGCGTCCTGCTCGCCGGAATCTAAATTAGGTTTTCAGTGCTGCTACATTATTATCAGTGCTAATTTTCATCAGAGGTTAGTGTTTTAGTGTAAAAGAAGTGTATTGACAAGTGGTGTATGAGTTAGTAGTAGTATTTATCCATATTACGCCTGGTGAGTATTATTATTTATGTCAAAATTCATGTTATTGAAATGGTGATTGTTTTGAGGTTATGCCATAGGCTATGCCTAAATCATAGCCTAGCCTACAATCGTATGTGTGTACAAAGTACAAAAATTATATCTAACTTTGAATAACAAATTTTCGTTTTTGGAAAAACAAAAACTTTGTTTTTTAAGTCATATAAAGTTGTAAAAAGTTACAACTTTGTACAATGTGACATTATTCTGAATAGCCTACATGTATTGTTACCTTTAGTAATATAACAATTTTTGTATATAAATTGTATATACATCTGGTTATAATTTTATGTTTCAAATGTTCGGCGCAAATTCGTTGATTTTCCCCATTTTCCGTATTTCCCCCCGTAATTTTGGTAAAAAAATTATTTGAAACAAATCAATCACATTTCTACGTAGGGAAATAAATTTCCTACATTTTATATATCTTAGAATGTCTGTAAAAAATTTGGTGTAAAAACGCTAGGCCTCTGCTTTTGAAAATTATTCCGAAAAATTAAAAGATATTTTTATTTTTTCACATTTACCTAGCAAAAAAACCACCAGCAGGGATTGTTGAAATTTTATTTTATTCTAAATCTCCTTTCTTTTCTGAACAAAACAAGTATGAATATGACTAGGTTATCAACAATACTTTAGGCACTGCAAATTTTTAAAAAAAACCTCTGCAAAATGGCCAAAATTGCCAGGGCGCCGAGCAATTTTGCATTAATCAGGCCAGGGCGCTCCTAGGGTTAATCAAATTCAAAGGCTCTATTGTGTTTTCACTAAGCTGAATGAATATATTTAAGTAACATATCTTAAAAGTCTGCAATAAATTACAATTTTGCAGATTAATGACTTTCTAAATCATGCACATAATTCTTCATAAAAATTATTAAAAAATAAATCCAGTTGCTGTAAACCACTATTAATTTAACAAAATATGGACACGGCTCATATGGGCAACTTGCCCTTCTGTAGGCTACTTGTATTATTTTGTATTGTATTATAGGCCTACAATTGAAATCTTTTCCAATAATTGAAAAACTGTATGCATCATTTGGACAAATTCAGTAACTCCCTATATAATATGTGTTGTTTAAAATACAATTTAAATATTAACAGCTGTTTCATTCATATCACAAATGGAACGTTAAAGGCTTCTGGGGCAGAGCCCTAAGCCGAACGGCGGATCCGCCGGAGGTTGAGGGTCACACACCGGCGAAAACTATTTTGCCGGAGCCGGCGACAATAAATAATAGAGTGCAATGAACTCTGAATCAGTTTTTTCTTAGACTAGTACAGTTCTAGTACAGTTTAGTCTTAGAAATGGTGCTGTCAAGACCTCCAAAATTGGCCTTGCTGTGTTTCATCCACCACAGAAGGAAGAGAAAACACCACCGAACTGTTTGGGTGATTCCTATTCTGGAGAACAGACAGCTACATTGAGCTTTTTACACTCTGTTTTTGCAGTTGAGAAATGAAGAAAATAAGTTTTTTAATTATTTTCAAATGTCTGTCGCCTCATTCGACGAGCTACTATCGAAGATAATAGTGCAAATACAAGGACAAGACACATACATAAGACGCTGGAAAGGCTGGATTCAGTGCGGCACAAATTTGTCCCCAGCTGTCCCTCGTTTTGTTTTTGTCTTTGTAAATTCCCAAATATCCATCCCAAAGTTCTGGTTTCTCATGAACCAAACAAATAAGTAAATCCATATCAACATCTACCATGATGATATAGAAAACTGAGGTATCATTTTAAACAGACTAAAAATAAAATACCCCCGCCGCAGCAAACCTGCAGACTAAGCGAATTTCCATTTGACTGATTAGATTTACACTGAAATGTCTACTTAAAAATATAACATTTATTCTTGATTTAAATAGAATTAGTTTAACAAGTACTTAGGTTTGCTGCATCAGGGAGGGTAAAACTTTTTTTTTTGTAAAATGTGAATAGGTAGTGAGAAATAAAAACATTTTCCAAATTTGATCAAAATATGTTAACAAACAAGCAAACTACAACAGTTTACTTATTCTCCATAAGAATAACATGGGAATTTTAAATTTACATTTTTTTTGAATTTTCTCCGTAACTATTAGGCGCATAATAACGCTTCAATATACTAAATTATTTGTTTTTTTAAGCTCTACAAAATGGTTTGGAAAGAAATGGCTAAATTTTATGTTTTTTGGGTCAAAAATAGGAAAAACCTATTTTTACCCCATAAAACCCCCCGTAAACCCCCGTTCCCATGGTCCGATCATGCTGGATCGCGAACTCGTTCGAATAAACGTACGTTTACACGTTTGTACCAAATTTCATCCAAATCGGATAATTTCTGCTCGAGTTATCGTGCTGACGGACACATATATATATATATATATAAATATATAAATATATATATATATATGAATTTGAACGGATGGTGTTTTTGGCCTCTAGGGACCTCAAAATGAAAAAAAAAATCGGTCCCGCGTCCAGGTCTTACCATGAGTACTACGGTAATAGCTTATTCCCTATATGGGAAATTCGCTAAAACTAAATTAACTAAATAGCAAAACAAAACTTAATACACCACATGGACACTGTGCTATAATCAAAAACAACCACTACCCTTGAGGGTTGAACCACGACTGAGGAGTGGGGGCAGTGGCAGTCCGGCTGTTTCGCCGGTAAGTGTGTTCATCTCCATAAAGCATAATGCCCCGCTACCCACAGGGCCGGCGAAACCGCCGATGCGGCGGTCCGGCGAGGTAGAGAATATCCGGCGGTTTCGCCGGAGCATTTTCCCGCCGGATCGGCAGTTTCGCCGAACCGTAGAAGTGTGGCCTGCCCCATGCCTTCCTGTGTATCTCAACTTGCTCCGGCGCCGCCGGATCCGGCGTCCGGCGGTTTCGCCGGTAAGTGTGTCCCTGGCCTAAGGAAATTCACTTTGTCTTTCTTTTAATAGCTCATCTACAGACCGAGACCTTTCTTTAGACACCTCTACCAAGTTTCTACGCCCAGCCGTTCTCTCAAATTAGTGAAGACAAAGTTTCCAATTAAAAATTTAGATTTCCCCATGTTAATATTATGGTAGAAAACCCAAATTTGATAGATGATCCTGTCCAAACTAATAAAGATTTGAAATAAAACAAAAAAAAAACACTGCAAAACTACAGATCAGGGAAATTTTTTTGACACTTAAATAACCAAAATCGGTCCAAAAATGAGGGAGTTCTGTTCACAAAAATCGGGTTAGCGTATTATATATATAGATTGTTAAATACATATTGATTACATGCCTATTTACAGCTCCATCGATCGTGTAACCAAAATCTGTTGCTGGCAATTTAAGAATTCATACCGTACCCCATATTATTTTGATTTAATTAATTATCTGTTAATGACATTGAAGGACAAGGGATGTAACTTGCACCCTTATATGCACCTACTCGATTATAACTTACTGTAGCTGTGTAGCTTGAAAGAGCTCATATAGTAAAATATCAACTAAAATGAATCTATTGATGGCGATTAAAGAAATCCTACCAAACTTTATTGTCTATATGTTAATAACATAGTTAAGGACAAGGGATACACCATACACCCCTATATGCGCCCTACTCGATTATAACTTAGCTGTGTAGCTTGAAAGAGCTCACATAGCCACAATGAATCTATTCCTGGTGATTAAAGAAATCCTACCAAACTTTATTGTCTATATGTTAATAACATAGTTAAGGACAAGAGATACACCATACACCCCTATATGCGCCCCACTCGATTGTAACTTAGCAGTGTAGCTTGAAAGAACTCACATAGCCTTAAAAAATCAACTACAATGAATCTATTCCTGGTGATTGAAGAAATCCTACCAAACTTTATTGTCTATATGTTAATAACATAGTTAAGGACAAGGGATACACCATACACCCCTATATGCGCCCTACTCGATTATAACTTAGCTGTGTAGCTTGAAAGAGCTCACATAGCCACAATGAATCTATTCCTGGTGATTAAAGAAATCCTACCAAACTTTATTGTCTATATGTTAATAACATAGTTAAGGACAAGAGATACACCATACACCCCTATATGCGCCCCACTCGATTGTAACTTAGCTGTGTAGCTTGAAAGAACTCACATAGCCTTAAAAAATCAACTACAATGAATCTATTCCTGGTGATTAAAGAAATCCTACCAAACTTTATTGTCTATATGTTAATAACATAGTTAAGGACAAGGGATACACCATACACCCCTATATGCGCCCTACTCGATTATAACTTAGCTGTGTAGCTTGAAAGAGCTCACATAGCCACAATGAATCTATTCCTGGTGATTAAAGAAATCCTACCAAACTTTATTGTCTATATGTTAATAACATAGTTAAGGACAAGAGATACACCATACACCCCTATATGCGCCCCACTCGATTGTAACTTAGCTGTGTAGCTTGAAAGAACTCACATAGCCTTAAAAAATCAACTACAATGAATCTATTCCTGGTGATTGAAGAAATCCTACCAAACTTTATTGTCTATATGTTAATAACATAGTTAAGGACAAGAGGTACACCATACACCCCTATATGCGCCCCACTCGATTGTAACTTAGCTGTGTAGCTTGAAAGAACTCACATAGCCTTAAAAAATCAACTACAATGAATCTATTCCTGGTGATTGAAGAAATCCTACCAAACTTTATTGTCTATATGTTAATAACATAGTTAAGGACAAGAGGTACACCATACACCCCTATATGCGCCCCACTCGATTGTAACTTAGCTGTGTAGCTTGAAATAGCTCACATAGCCTTAAAAAATCAACTACAATGAATCTATTCCTGGTGATTGAAGAAATCCTACCAAACTTTATTGTCTATATGTTAATAACATAGTTAAGGACAAGAGGTACACCATACACCCCTATATGCGCCCCACTCGATTGTAACTTAGCTGTGTAGCTTGAAAGAGCTCACATAGCCTTAAAAAATCAACTACAATGAATCTATTCCTGGTGATTAAAGAGAGTCCTACCCCACTTTATTTAATTTTTATTGTACATGTTAAATGCATAGTAAAGGACGAGGGATATGTACCCTTGTGTGCGCCTAATCGATTGTAACTTAGAACCTCAATGAATCTATTGCTGGCAATTAAAGAAAGGAGATGTACCTATATTCTTTCTAAAAGAAAAACAATTTAGTATCTAACATATTGTTATATTATCTTTGACAATCGGTTACACAAATTCAAAGGCTAAGTACTTTACAAGTACTTATTTTGCAATATTATTGCAAGACTCTGTACCAAAAAATCCCAAAATGATTCAAATCCCAACTCAAAACGAGAATAACAGTTGTCCAAGTATTCAGGTTTTGAACATCTCCAGTTTGAAACTAAAAATCATATTTATTTTGAAAATTTACAATAAGTTTGAATATAAAGTAGGCTACTGTATATATTTGAATAAACTACCCCTCCTATGAGTAAAATGCCGAAGCAAATCTGCAGACTAAGCGAATTTCCATTTATCTGGCTGGCTTTTCTCTAAATAACCCTGTTCAATTTTCAGGTTAATTTCCTATTTAAATAACATTAATTTTATTGATTACCTACTTAGGTTTGGTGCTACAGGGAAGGAGTTTAGGAAAGATGGGGACAAGGAAAGTTAGGGACAAATAGTAGTTTGACCGGGGGGGGGGATTAACAATTGAACTAGGCTCTGAAACTACTCTTTTAATACCTCCTGTTTCAGTTCACAGAGGTACAATAACGGGATTGACTTTAAAATCATAATTTGAATATCTCCAAACAGTAAACATAAAAATGTTAAATGTCAGTCAAGTCAGGCTCGACCACCTAGGTTTGCTAGCTTCTTTATTATTCATTTTGGATCAGTTAAATATATATTACATAAAATATAAAATTATTCAATGCAATAATGTTACTGAATATAATGTAATGACACATTGTTTAGATATGCTGACGTAATTAAGCGTTACAAGTTTAAAATTTGAATATATCTGTGATTGTATGCCTACTATAAACTTTTTATGAAATAAATTGTATTTTTGTTTGCACATTGCTTCAGATTTATCTCTGAATTTCCGATTTTTGTCGGAAAAACTTAAGAAGACAATATTTTATGCGGCCTACTCTGGGAAAATTACAACACTGTTCACGATTGAATATTTTGACATATCTTCAAAGAAAGTTTAGTGATTTTTTAAGGTTCAAAATCTGTTTACAAGGCTTTGTAAAAATAAAGTGAAATATCTTTCATGATATTACCCAGTGATAAATTATTATTTTGTAATGAGTATTTATTCTATCGTTATAACTAGTGATATGAATGTCTCTTGTAGTGTTAGTCTGTAACTATTTATATGTCTTGTTCATGCATGTATTATTTTGACCTAGGTACAAATTACAATAGAGAACGAGTCGTTCTCAGAGCTGAGTCAGCCACAGTTAGCCTCCCCCTCGGCTCACTACCCTATTTGTCCCTAAGTTTCCGTGTCCCTAAGTTTCCTTGTCCCCATCTTTCAGGACATCACAGGGAAGGTAATAGAGTGTGTTTTTTTATTGAAATGTTATAGTACCTATAAAATTGCCAAATTTTATAAAAATATATCTCTTGACAAGCATATTACAATGAGTTAGTTTATTTATTCTAATTACAAGAATAACATGGGAATTTTAACTTTAAGGTTTTTTTTAAATTTTCTTTATAACTACAAGAACCCTTTAATACTGAATAATTTTTTTTGTGCTCTACAAAATAGTTTGGAAAGAAATTGCTAAATTTTATTTTTTCGTGGGAGAACCAATCTTTACCCCCTGAAATTTTGTTCACAAAGTCCAATCATGCTGGTTTGCGAAATTGTTTGAATAAATGTAGGTTTACATGTTCATACCAAATTTCATCAAAAATGGATGATTTTGACGAGTTATTGTGCTACTGGACACATATAAAGTTAATATTATTAATGTAGGTATGTGTATATAGGCCTATGTATGAATTTGAACGAATGGTGTTTTTGGAGTCTGGGGACATCAAAATAAAAAAGTTTATCGGTCAAGGGTCTAGGTATTACCATGAGACGTACGGCAATAGCTTACTCCCTTATAGGAAATTCGCTATTAAAAGTGGTTTAATGTTTGATTTCTCCCCCAGGTCCACCCAAACTGCTGCCCTCCAACCACCACACTACTCAGGAACTGCTGTTTCAGAATGTCGTCCTTGACAATAACTTGCCCATGGCCATTGGCCATCCTCCTAGGATTATTTTCAGTATCATCCTTATGAATGTTATTAAAGTGGCTTTTTTTTCATTTTAGGGTCAGATCTACATTGACAATTGACAGTGATGAACTCAATATGGCCGATGTCAGCAAACAGAAGAATGGAGATTTTCACCCTAAAATATTAATGTCAACAGTGACAAAGCGCATAAAGATATGAAATAGGCCTACAGAGTGCCTGATGTAAATATGTTGATTGGACACATGTGAATTCAGCTTTAACAATTTACAATTATTAATATTGTTAATTTTAATTTTGCTATTGTGTAGTGAAAATATTATTGAAAATGTCGTTTTTGAGTAATTTAAAGAAAGTTCTTCACCTTGGCAACAATGAATCAAAGAGGAAAAAAGTGTTCAACAATATCAAGATGGATTGTGATCCGGAGGAGTACTGGGAGATGATAGGCGAGCTGGGGGATGGTGCCTTTGGGAAAGTGTACAAGGTAAAATACTGTTAGGCACCGTGTACAATAATTACATATACGTTATACAGTACAACCTCAATAATTCGGCCCTTGATAATCTGGACTCTCCAGTAAGCCGACTCAATCATATCTCTAAACAAAAAATCTGCCTTAAAGAAATACAGTAGTGTGTTTGTACAGTAGAACCTCTTATTAACCAGGCGGTTGATCAACCTTGAGCAATAGGTAGGCTACGTATAAAATTATGTTACATAACCTCACTATCTAGAAAAATATTAAGACAATTTTATAAGTTATTTTTCTTAAGTCCAATGTGTTAAAAATGCATTGTATATTAAGTTAAACTATTTCTGCCTGTCGACATTCCTCTGTCCTGAAACACCATGTAGCAAAGCTACCAAGATTTTTGGCTTTTGCCAAACAATTGATTTGTTTTCATAATATATCTTAAATTTAAGTTTTCTATTTAGCACTGAACTATGACAAAATAAATAGTTAACCTATATATTTTTTGCGGAGCCAAATACAATGTACACATGAAGTAATTTAAATGATTTTCAGTTACAGTACACTCAAGATTATCCGAGCCCCGGTTTCCCGAGCTCTCGGGTTATTCGAGGTTGTTTTGGGCCTAAATATATAAATTTTTATTTCTGGTTGGGAAACAATAACAACATTTTAAGGAATGTTTCTGTGGAAAGTAAAGAAAAATAGCAAACAATTTGTGATTTCTTAAAATTAATACTACTTTAAATAATGATTATAGGTATTACCGGTATTTTAATGTACAAATTATCCACAGTAACCTAGAAAATGAAAACCACACACAGTATTAGGTTGGCTGCTAACCATTGGTAAGCTGAAAGAGTCGTCTGTCCCCCCCCCCCCCCCCCCCAGAACATCAGCAAAAGCTGTGACATTTCTGCTTGTATCGCTTTTGCCAGTGTTGGTCATCACAATGTTTGTAATATTGACATGATTGTTTCAAGTATAGTTCAAATGAAACTAAAAAAAAATAATTGTATCCTTTTAAAACTATTGGGATCACCTTTTTTCTGTTTTTATTTAATCCTGAAGAGTCTTGACTTAGCATAATTTAATATGTAGCCTACTGTATTTTAAGTTTTCCAAGACAGTTTAAGTAGTGTTAAGCTGTTTTATTTAGGCCTATTGTTTTCCCTAATAACACTGCATGCTAATAACAAAACCATTTATTGATCATTTTGTATTCACTATTAAAATATATACTTTACAAGTCTTTGACTTCGTAATGTAGTACCCTAACCCCTAACCTCAAAATCTAAGAGACTTTCGTGTTATCCGAGATTTTCGGTTACTGAGGTGGTGTCAGTCCCAACAACCTCGGTTAATTGGGAGTGTACTGTATGTTTTTAGTTAAATATATTATGTCGTGTATTTTTCTAGATGTGTGAATTTATGTGAATGAGTCAGAAATTGTGTTACGTGCTTGCGCCAGGGATGTGCCTGTCGTGGTACTGCAGCTGGTGGAATGGGATAGCGAGTCCACGTCCTAGTAGTTCTCGTCACACCAGCTGGCTATCCCTTCCCCTCCCCATCCCCCACTATCTACCGCTGACTATCTCTCTCGCTCCTTATCTCCTTACCCAAAGAAACTAAAGACGGCTAATATAAATGTTCAGTCATTGCGTGCTCAGTTTGATGAGGTCCGATTTTTGGACATAGAGATTTTGACTTGATTGCCGTTTCTGAGTCCTGGCTGAAACCAAGTATCCCGTCAGTTATGCTGTCCCTGCATGGTTATATTCTGCTTCGTAATGACAGGACATGTAAGCAGGGTGGATGAGTTGTGGTGTATATCAGGGAGGGACTAAAATGTTGATCTGTTCACTTGTCGCCTTTGGAGTAGGTACTCGGCAAAGCCAGAATTCTTATTCATTGACATTAGCTTGTCTGGAGCAGATTCCTTGCTGCTGGGAGTGTGTTATCGCCCTCCTAGAGTTGGACAGCTGCTAGACTTTGAAAATGCACCTAATGTTTAGGTATAGTCATGTCTTAATACTAATTTATTACCAACAAACCAAAACTGTGAATAGAGACATCTGACTACATTATTCAGTTCATGCAACTTAAGTAGGCTATACCCCACTTGAACTACGCATCATGCTGCCGAGTCAAAAACACTCCTTGACCTAATAGTTTTTTCTGACTCACAAGAAATTTTACATCATGGGCAGCTTCCTGTTCGAGCAGTATCCCAGCATGACCTTATTTACTGTGCGTATTCAGTGCTCCTAAGCCCAAGACAACATTTGTTAAGTATAGAGATTTTAAGAATATGAATGAGGCACAGTTCATTTTAGACGCACAGCAAATACCGTGGCACACCATTGAAAATCTTGTCTCTGTTGGTTTAATGGTTAATGAACTTAATATTACCATAAATGATCTCCTTGATAAACTTGCACCTATAATCACAAAATGTTAACAAAAATGCAACATGTGCCATTTTTCTAAATTTGGACTATTGTCTGATTGTTTAAGCCAGATTATCGATATATTACTTTACTACTGTATGTAAGTAGTTTTGTTTAATGATTTTCCTTTAGCAATATGAGCATTAGAAGTGTCACACGGCGAGGGTTAAGTGTGGGCCTCTCTTTGAATTTCAAGACATATTGATCAAGTTTTGTGGGTCCATTTATCCATCTACATACTAAAGTGGTTTCATATACTGTACAATTTATTTAAATTTTGGTTGGACTCTCCTTTCTGGATCCCATTTAAAGTGTCAAGTGTAAAAAAAGTTGGCTAATATTTAGTTTTATCAAAAATATTTAAAATCCCATTTAATTAGTTTACCGTTACATTTATTTTATTAATTTCGTGATTTTAGGCTCAAAATAAAATCACAAAACAGCTTGCTGCAGCAAAAATGTGTGCTTTGGAAGGGGAAGATGATTTATCTGATTTCATGATAGAAATTGATATTCTATCTGAATGCAAACATGAAAATATAGTAGAATTACACGAAGCCTTCTTTACAAATGGGAAACTTTGGGTAAGTGTTAGACCTATTCATCTATTTGTTTTACCTTATAGTAGAAAAATGTTACAAACTCTAGTGTGAGCTTTTAACTTGATCTATGTAGCCTACTCTGGGTTTGTGCTAAATTCAACTAGGTAATTGTCTGTTACATTGCAATGTTTGGTCAAATTTGGTCACAAATCAACTGCAAAATGCTAGTTTTCTTTTAAGTCTTATTTTGTAATATAACATGCGTTTACTTTTATTTTTTAAAGATTATTCAACACCATGTATGCTAACACAATTTAATTCACAAAGTGCCCATTTCGTATGCGATTACTGTACTACTGAGATGAATGTTTTGGCTATGATTAGGTAACCCCTAATAATTTATATTTGTTCAGATTATGCTTGTAATTAAAAATATTGACATTGAATACGGAAATAAAACAAACAATTGTATCTGTAATACTTGAACACAACAGCATAATGTTTGTAAATAAATACTGTTAACAGCAAAGTTTCAAGATTAAATCCATTTTTAGATAACAATGGAATTAGCCGGCTTGAAGGATCATGTTTGTTATTCTGTAAAATGATTTTCTTGAATTGTGTGAAGTAAAAATTTAGCTAGATAAATGAATCTCTATTATCTTCTGTATTGCAGTAAATAGTAATACACTAACACTATCATCTCCTGTAATCGTGCCAACAAATTTTTTATCTCAAAGACTTTGCAGATGTCATTCTAGAACGCACTGTAATGAACAATCCTGATGTATCTTGTAGTATGACCTAGAATAAATCCTAGCTAGAAAGCTCGGCTCTTTTTCTCGGTTGTTGTTCAATTACCGGTACTCTAGCTTTTGGACTAGGCTTGCCTTGGCTCAACCATCAAGCTGATTGCATTTTCACTTATTAGTAAGCCTTGTGGCAGGGTGATTTGAGACGGTACAGTTTTTCTTCAAGTAAAAAATCAAATTTGATTGAAAGTTTTTCATATCACCTCAATTTTATTACAACCACTGTCACAAGTTGGTAACAAACAACAGTTCTGATGTATTACATCACAAAGAGTTTCTTACTGTGCCTTAGAATTAGAAATGGGTTGATTCCTCTTTACTTCGATTTCGATTCCATCGACTCCTAATAAGTAAAAAAAGTTCTAATGATTAAAATACCATATAAGTACCCTAATTTTCCAGATTTTCCCAATTCGCTATTTAAAAAGTATATTATTTATTTATGACTTTTAAAAACTATAATTTAATTATAATAACTGAGATTTTGCATTTTGTTATTAAAAATATATACAGGCTACAATTCAACAGTCCAATAAAGCCTACAAAAACCATATAGCCTAATTTATTTAATCAAAAATAAAAACTTACATGATTGTGTTTATACTTATTTGTATCACAGTTTCCTTTTTCCCCTTCTATTAATAATGTATCATTCATGACCCAGGCCTTGGTATAGCAAGATTTTTAGTTGGTGGTTTTTAAATTTTCTGTTAAAATTCTGTATTCTGCAAAAATAAATAATTAAATAAAATAATGATCTGTCATTTACTGTAGAACAGATTTCCCTGCCGTAAATCAAGAAATCCCAACCTCCATAGCCTAAAATTAAAATAATTTTTTGTCTATTTAAACCAATTAAACTTCCTCAACCATTACATAATTTTATGTTAGGCAATAGGCACCTACTTATTTGCGCCATACCAACGCCAAAACCAAGCCGTCCAAGTCCAAAAATGTGCGTTAAGAAATGGTAAGTTAAAGTGAAGGAAAAAGAAAAAATATCAGAGATGTTGAAATATAGCTAAGTTTGGAGTAAGCTCAAGACGAAAGTACCGATGGTGTGACAAAAAAATGGTGTCGGTAGGCCTACTTTTTACCACGACAAAAATATATGCTTCGCCCTTTTTTTAAGTAAAATTTTATTAGCAAACTAAATAGGGTTTTACACGCTTGTTTTATTTTCCAATTAAGCTGGTTGAACCATAGACTAAACAACACAAGTAGCCTTACATCCCATTGTAAATTATGAAGCTGGTTTTTCGTGCCTAGTTCATGGTTTGTAGGTACACTTGTTAATTTTAAATTCGTTAATCGGTACAGTAGTATACTCTATTAATAACATATTAAATACTAAACATCAATTTAATCCCCTGTCGTGCGTCGATTCCAATTGGGAATCTTATTGTCTAAATTGTTGTGCCACCTGCGTCTGCCTAGTTTCAATTTCACTCACTGTCACTGTCAGTGTCTCTCAACACATACACACACACAAACACGAACACAGACAGTTCCCCTTATTGCGATCAAGGTTAAGCCAATACCGGCAATGAAGGCAATAGTTGCTCACACTGAACTAGAGCTACAACCGAAGGTAGCATTGAATGCGAGAATTGAGAGACGTTGGCCGCCATATTTACTAGGGGAATAGTACTTTGGAACTAGGGCATTGCAATTGCCAACAGCCAATGAGCTGATTGATTCTTCTAGTGGTACCAACATAACAACGTTTTACAGCGTCTTGATTTTCTAGCAGAGTTGCCGTGCCAGTACCTCCATTTGGATGTTTTCAGACTACAACTATTACGTTTCATAAAAAGCAAGAGCGGTTCCCTGATTCTGTTTACTTATCACACTTAGATAAGATAAATAACTGAGAGTGCACGATTATTTTGAGCCGGCATGAACCACGCCGGTTGTCTGATTCAGAATTTAAACTACTGTAACAACAAAACACTGACCATGGCAACTTCCTTAAAATTATGAGTTTTTATATGGAATCGGTATCGAGAATCGTGAATAATATTTCAGAACTGGTATCGAATCGAGAAATTATATTATCGGCATATCCCTATAAAAATACAATTAATATTCACGGAAAGTAAATAAAAGAAACGTCTTATAACACTTAAAACATATATTTTCGCTTACAACATACACATATATTACATATATTTATGCTTAATAACACGTACAATGCTGATCAAGAAGTTATTTAATGAATATTCGACTTAGACGCGTAATTGAAGCCATGGCCTTAAGTTTTAAGACCGAGTTTGGCTTTGTTCCAGCTATGCGTAGATTGACATAGATAGATAGAGCTGGCGGGTGGCGGCGAGTCGGCGTATTCTGTCAGCGATTCTTGAATCCGAATCTTTTCTTAGGATTCGAGATTCGGATACGACTCATCTGACGCGCCTGTGTCGTGTCGTCGACCGTCATCACGTCGTGTCTCAGTCTCTTTCGTCCGCTTATTGAGACGACAAGTATGACAGTGCGGAATGAGGTGTTGAATGTGAAATGTTTCTTAATGAGCATTTTCTTACAGTTATGAGGATGAATCAGGGAATAAATACACACTTACTATAAACTTTATTACACAATAATCCATATAAGCCAATGTACTAGTCGGCGGGAAAACTACCACCTGGAATCGAAGGAATCGGAATAGACTTTAGGCGATCGATTCCCGATTCCGATTCTAAGCCAAGAATTGGTGGAATCGAGAATCGAAGATGGAATCGACCCATCCCTACTTAGAATATAATCAATATTCTCTTAAGCACCTTTCCCCTCACATATCTCAATCTACCACTGCCTTTGTAGTTAAAATACCAATGATTTAGTGTCATCTAATTGATGAGGTTGCTCATTGTTATATTTTAAAGTGTTTAACACTTACGGCTTGGTGCGGGGTGGTTAATGGTCCGTGCATTTGTTCCATATACTTACTTTCCGTGTCCGGAAAAAAACACCAGCTCAGTTAGATATTATTTTTCCAATAATCTGCCACATATATGGCTTCGTCATTTGCCTCCTTAAGATCGAGTCAGGAGCATGTTCTGTCCATATCTGGACAAACTAGTAGATGTTCATGGTCCTGAGGGGCCCCACATGTGCCCCTGTCGTCATTTGTTCCATATGACGTTCAGTATCTTAAAAAACCTCCCCCTTTGTTGAAAATAACAACTCAGTTGTATTCTTTTATACGCCACATTTTGTTTAACTATGAAGATATTGTGAGTGTAGTAGTATTGTTTTGGTGGTGTGATGCAGATGCTGATAGAATACTGTGATGGAGGTGCTGTTGACTCTATCATGGCAGAGCTGGACAAGCCCTTGACTGAGCTACAGATAGCCTTCATCTGTCAACACATGTGTAGAGGGCTCACCTTCCTTCATCACAGCAAAGTCATCCACCGTGACCTAAAGGCTGGCAACGTACTGTTGACCATGAGTGGAGGTGTCAAACTTGGTAATACTCTTGCTAGACTGGTTGTCTGTAAAATCTATTTTGTAGGGAATTGATCGGTTTGCAAAGAAAAAAGTACGATTGATGTTGGATACTGCAAGTAAGTTTACTCATCCCATTGTAACTGACCCATTGTAATTTGACCAACCACTGGCAGAGAGTCTAAAAAATAGTCTCTCTGATGCAGAGGTGATGAAAAGTGGTGTACCCCATGGGTCAGTCTTGGTTGGCCCTTTCCTGTTATTAGTTTTGATTAACGTTTCAATTCAATTAACTAAGTATTTGTTTAAATAATGTTACATGGATGGTAAATAATCTATATATATATAAAAGGCAAAGCCCTCACTGAATCACTGACTCTTTGGGCATTAAATAGGAAAACTAAGTTGTTTTTATTCTGATCGGGCTTTCGGGCTCCGCCCCAGTGGCTCTGGAGTTTCCCATGTTAACCTTATGAGTACTCATATTTAAATGGAATTAAAGAATCTTAACAGCTGTTTCAATTAAAGAAGTTGGTTCTGTTCTATGATGTTCAATAGCATTAAAGTTACAAGGATTACCAACAGGGTGTAGCACTATTATTTTTTTAAATTTATGACACAGCTAATTTGCAACCAAAAGGTGAGTGAGCGTAGCGAACGAACTTCAACCTGGAGGCGAGTTAGCGCAGCGAACGAGCTAACCTGAAGGCAAGTGAGCGCAGCGAACGAGCTCCAATCTAAAGGTGAGTGAGCGTAGCGAACGAACTTCAACCAGGACGTGATTGAGCCATGCGAACGAGCTCATCTTGAAAATTAAGAAGTTAAACGGGGCAAAGCCCGCGGGTACAGCTAGTCATCTCATATTTAAGTGATAATCCAATCAGGCAAATAATGTTAATTCGCGCTTTTGCAGGTTTGCTGCGGCAGGGTTATTTTATTCTTTAGAAACGTAATTCTACTGATTGTAAAAGCAGATCAAATTAATTATATGACTTGCAGACTTAACAAGTCATTTTAGGATGGTTTTGCACATTTTAGCGAATTTTCTTATAGGGAAGTAGCTATTTCCGAAGGTGGCACGGTAAGACCTAGGCCTGGGACCGATATACTTTTTCCTTTTTAATATCCCCAGAAATCAAAAACTATTCGTTCAAAATGTTATATATGTATATGTGTGCATAATCGCGATAACTTGAGTAAATTTTGCCTGTTAACTCGAGCAAAAATGATCCGATTTTGATGAAATTTGGTACAAACATGTAAACCTACATTTATTCGAACAAGTTCGCGATCCAGCATAATTGGACCATGGGAACAGGGGTTTATGGGGGTTTTATGGGGTAAAAATGGGGTTTTCCCATTTTTGACCCTAAAAACAAAAAAAATTTGCAATTTCTTTTCAAACCGTTTTGTAGAGCTTAAAAAAAGAAATAATTTAGTATATTGGAGCGCCGGTATATGCCTAACGGTCAAGGAGAAAATTCAAAAATAGCGTAATTTAAAATTCCCATCTTATTCTTATGGAGAAAATGAAAATTGTTGTAATTTACTTGCTTATGGATATACATTAATAAAATTTGGCGAATTTATTTATTTCATCCTATACTATTGACGTATGGTCAAAAACACTTTTTACCTTCCCCCGTTGCAGCAAACCTAAGCACTCGTTCAATCTATTGTTATTTAAATAGGGAATAAATATGTCTTTATTTATGGAAATATTTTAGTAAAAATGTAATCAGCCGAGTTGAAATTAGCTAAGTCTGCAGGATTGCTGCGGCGGGGGTATTTTTGATTCAATTTAGCTTGAAAGTGTATGGCAGGATAAACTTAGATGAGTTCGCAAACCAGCATGATCGGACCATAGGATTGGGGTTTTATTGGGGATTTTATGGGGTAAAATTTGGGTTTTCCCATTTTCAACCCTCAAAACTAAAATTTCCTAATTTCTCTCTAAACAATTTTGAAAAGCTGAAAAAATAATAAATAAATTAGTATATTGAAGTGTTTTTGTACAGTTATTGGTTACGGAGAAAATTCAAAGCTACTAATATTTTACTAAAAAATAAAATACACTTACCCTGCCTGTAGCAGCAAACCTAAGTACCATGCTAGGTTTATCATGCAGATGACACTGTCATCATCTCACTAACTGCCAAATCAACAGACACTTTAAACCGAAATATCAATATAACCTTCAACATGACTAAACAATATTGCACAGTAAACAAATTGGCTCCAAATGAAAAGAAAACTGGTCAGCTGAACTACTCTACTAAGAATAAAGACACAAATGTATCAATCCCTGGGATAGAAGCACAAAATAGTACCAAAATCTCTGCATTATCATGGATTCAAAACTGACATGGAAACAGCACATTGACCAACTCTGCAAGAAGCTACGCTCTGGAATTTATGTCATCAGGCGAGTAAAGCAGGTTGGTGGTCTGGACACTGCAAAAACAGCCTACCATGCTCTGATCAAGTCACACCTCAGGTGTGGTCTGGTGGTCTGAATAAGTACATCCAACAACTATCTAAAAAGAGTCCTTATCCAACAAAAAAGAGCTATAAGATACATCAGACCCTCAATATCAACCACAGACCTTCAATATCAAGGAAGCAGTTGTGATGCATTTAAGGAACTAAAAATCCTCACACTGACATAACTTTACATCCGTGAGGCAATTCTCCATGCCATCTCCACAAATCAAACAAGAAACAGAGACATTCACCATCACAATACATGGAACGCCTCAAGCTTTGCAATACCACCTCACCATATCCATCCTGCAAAAGGGGACCCTGTATTTCAACATCCTACCAGAACAACTTAGAAATGAACAAACTTACCGTTTCAAGAACCAATTAACAACATGGCTGCAAGAAAGGCCATTCTACTCAGAAAAAGAATTTCTTGACAACCAGCTTTAACAACATATACAATCAACAAATTTTAGTTATTATTCTGACGCATGTACTGTTCTCAACGAACAAACCAATAAAGATTATTGTCTATTGTCTACCCATTAAATCTAATGTTATTTAAGTAGATAAAAAAGAATATCAAATCAGGAAAATGGAAATTTACTTGGTCTGCAGGTTTGCTGGGGCGAGGTATTAATTTTTTAAGCCATCCAAAAGTTCATCGCTTAAAGGTTTCTTCATTATTTGTTACAGCTGACTTTGGAGTTTCTGCTAAAAACAAGTCCACACTTCAAAAGCACGACACATTTATTGGAACCCCTTACTGGATGGCTCCTGAGGTAGTGTTGTGCGAGACATTTCGTGATAACCCGTACGACTTTAAGGTATGAACCATTACATTTTTTGCTATATATAGATTGTCTAAGTCTAATAGCGATTTCCAAAAAAATATATATACTGGTTTCACTTACAAGAGTTTTAAATCATATTTGGCATTTTTTGAGAATTTCCCCTGTAGCTCTTATTGTAGGTGGTACAGTGGTACCTAATGGGCTTTTACGGAGGGATGTATGGGGTAAAATTAGGTTTTTCCCATTTTTTACCCTCCAAATATAAAATTCTACAGTTTCTTTCCAAACTATTTTCCACAGTTAAAAAAAAAAAACTAATTTAGTTTATTGCGTCATTGTACGTCTAATAGTTAAAGAACATACTGAAAAACTTCAAATTTTTAATTACCTTGTTTATCTTATGGAGACAAAGTGAGCTGTTCTAATTGACTTGTTTGGGTATATTGTAGGGATGGCCGAGACTGGGTTTTAAGTTCGAGACAAAATTCTTTTTTGTCATCATAATTCGAGACGAGCTTATAGAACTCATTACCGTACTATCGGAAATTATTAATTTGCGCAGTTTCACAATGATTAATACATATAACATTAAAGCACTATTAAAACAACAACTAAAGAACAATAACCAATTATTTTTTACAAAGGTTGATACAAAAAGAGAGTACAAAATAACAAAAGCTTACAGGAACTTAAATCGTTATGAAAATCTTAAAAAAGAAAAAGAAAATAAGACAGCTTTAATTTCCTGCTTAGGAGTGTGCTAAGTCACTAATGAATCAAGTATCTGGGCAATTATAATCATTATTATTTTATTCTATTAACATCACATACATTTTCAAAAAAAATTCCATTTTATTTTAGCTTCAAACTAGGGATGGGCCTATTCCATCTCTGGATACCTCGATACCAGTGGTACTGAAGAATCGCCGATACTCGATACCGATTCTGAAAAGTGACGTTAATTATGGTATAAAACTCGAGTGACATTGAAGGCTGTAAAGAGTAACACAACATAGTTTATTTGGAATACTCTGAAGTCAGTTAATATAAATAATTCCAAGTTCATTAGCTCACATTCGTAATAGTTATATAATCTAAAATTTCACTATGAATGACATGTACAACTCACAACAACTAGTAGAACTAGTTGAATGATAGAGGCTTATCACTTGCTGCCATGTTGTCAGATCAAGGGCAATGTTGCCAGATTGGGTACAAGCATTGAATATATAAATCTAATACAAAGTGTATACAGTTAATGGTAGTATAAATCACGTTTTCTAACTCCTGATAGGCTTTATGTACATTTCATTAGCAGCTAAAGAGCTTGATAACTTGCTGATCATAGTGTACAATATCATTGACTATAAACAAACTTTGTGAGTATACAGGGTTAGGCAAAAGTCTGGAACCCCCCAGTTAACGTTTCAACGGGTTGCAGTAGGAAAACCCAACTCTGCACATATTTACAACATAAGAAATACTTTTTTATCAAAGTTACAACTTTGCCCCAGCTCCCAAAATTGGGGTATTTTGGGGGCAGCCCCAAATTCTCAAAAGTAAACACCTATCATATGACCCCTCATTTTAAAGGGTTTATCAAGAGAAATTGAATGGTGCAAACTAGAGGTCAATATCGTACCCCTAATCAAAATGGCAGCCATTTTAATTATTTAAGATGAGCAAGCAAGATGAAGTCTGGAAACTCCTAGTTAACTTTAAAATAGGGATGGTCAAGTCTCGAAATTTCGGGAAATTTTAAATCTCGTTACAAGAGATGAGATTTCTTTTTGGCCGAGATTTTTATCAAGACGAGAATAGAAAAAAAAAAAAATAGAAAAAAAATTAAAAACGCCTGCAGAAAGTCAATGCAATACCCGCAATACAGGAGCGTGTTGTAGTTGCGTTTCCTTTGCGAAGGCGTTCTTATTTAATTAATTCTTTTAATGTAAATATTACTTTAATTATTTTATTAATATTACTTTAATAACATTTGAGAAGTTTTGTTAAGTGTAAGCAGTGTGAGGAATGTTTTATTACTGTACTATAAAAAGTCAAAACAAGTAACTATTTTATAAAAATTAATATTGCTTTTATTTTATGATTTATTTTATTTTAGGATAAGTTGAACTCTATCCTAACTGATATCACTATGTTTTCTAATCGTAGGCATTTTTAATAAGTTAGGCGTGATTAATAAAAAAATGTTATGCTGATGTTTTTTAATAAAAGATTGTAAATATTCTTGCCTATTATCATTATTTTTGTATTTAAACAGTCATCTAACAATGTTACAAAATCAGGTAAAAATTTTGAACGTGCATTTCCCGTTGTGTATGAGAAGGGAAATCCCGTCTCGATCTCGTCTCAAAATTTTATGAGAAATAAAAAATCTCGTCTCGTCTCGTCTCGAACTAAAAATCCAATCTCGTCCATCCCTACTTTAAAAGTTTAATATTTTAAAACTGATCAAAAGGTGAATTCTTTTTTAAAACGTTTTTATTAGCTCGCTTTCTTGTCCGGTACAAATTTTGCAATCAATTTTATACTAAGTTCCCGATGAGCTAGAGACTTGAAACTTGAAACATAGCCCACAACTGGATGACAATGCAATGTTATATAATTTAACCCTCTATCTGGCGCTGGTCGATTTTCGACCACTAAAACGTGAGTTCTCAGTGGCGCTGGTCTATTATAGACCAAGAGGACATGGGTCGGGTTTTTCTATTATTAAAATATGAAAGCCATTTTAAAACACAATAAATCTTATACCATTAGAAAGATGAGATTCTGAGGATTCATTTTCATGCATAAAACATTATTGAGTAAGTATTATGTAACGAGAAACATAGTTTGAAAAACTAGAGAGTTCAAAATAGATTTTGGCGGTGGAAAGTTTTGGTCACCTGACTACAAAAACTGCTGTTTTTGGTGATTGTCAATTAAATTGTCTACAATATTAGTACATATTCTGAAAGTAAAATAAATTCCCTACAATTCCCTCTGAATCTATAGGGTTGATTGTAAAAATTTTATTTGTTTTTAATAGGGATGGACGAGATTGGATTTTTAGTTCGAGACGAGACGAGACGAGATTTTTTATTTCTTATAAAATTTTGAGACAAGATTGAGTCGGGATTTCCCTTCTCATACACAACAGGAAATGCACGTTCAAAATTTTTACCTGATTTTGTAACATTGTTAGATGACTGTTTAAATACAAAAATAATGATAATAGGCAAGAATATTTACAATCTTTTATTAAAAAACATCAGCATAACATTTTTTTATTAATCACGCCTAACTTATTAAAAATGCCTACGATTAGGAAACATAGTGATATCAGTTAGGATAGAGTTCAACTTATCCTAAAATAAAATAAATCATAAAATAAAAGCAATATTAATTTTTATAAAATAGTTAGGTACTTGTTTTGACTTTTTATAACGTAATAAAACATTCCTCACACTGTGTACACTTAACAAAACTTCTCAAATGTTATTAAAGTAATATTAATAAAATAATTAAAGTAATATTTACATTTAAAGAATTAATTAAATAAGAACGCCTTCGCAAAGGAAACGCAACTACAACACGCTCCTGTATTGCGGTATTGCATTGACTTTCTGCAGGCGTTTTTAATTTTTTTTTAATTTTTATTCTTGTCTCGATAAAAATCTCGGCCAAAAAGAAATCTCATCTCGTGTAACGAGATTTAAAATTTCCCGAAAATTTCCCGAAATTTTGAGACTTGACCATCCCTAGTTTTTAAAAATGTCATAAAAGCTATGTTTTTGTAAAAAAATCTTCAAAATTTTACATTCCAACGTAAATTTCTCTGAAATTTTTTAGAATTAAACTAAATGTAACTAGTATTTATTTTCAAAAAGATCTTTTATTACCTATTGTACAGTATCATTTTATTTTTTGTTGATGAATTCTATTATTTCCTACGTGACCAAAAGAAATTTGGTAGTTTTTCAAAAAAGAAAATATGTATGTAGAATTTATTTTTCTATAATTTTTATTTTTATGAGTATTTAATAAACATTGGTATTTCTACGTAGGGAACCATATTTCACACAACCTTTACATTTAGATGAAATGTGTAAAAAAATTATTTTGTAGTTTTCTCGTGGGTTGCTTTTGAAATTTCTAATTTGCATAATCCAAAAATTTGCAAACCTTTTGCCACTACGCCTAAACGCATTGCTAAGAAAAAAATATTTTTATATTATTATATTCTAAATTTATCACTGAAACAGAAAATATATATATGTGTGTACTTATATTCACAAATAAATGTTCTGTGGCAAAATATATGATACCACTACAAAAGCGCCAAAATAAACCCGCCACTGGTGAATAAAATGACCGCCAGATCTAGGGTTAATTTTCATATTTCCCTTGGGCTACGCCCCATGGGCTTGTTTTTATTAACTCGCTTTCTTGCAAATTTTGATACTTCTTGATGAGCTAGAGACTTGAAACTTCAAACATAGCTCACAAATGGATGACAATGCAATATTATATCATTTAATTTTCATATTTCCCTTGGGCTATGCCCCATGGGCTTGTTTTTATTAGCTCGCTAGTCGCTTTCCTACAAATTTTTATATCAATTTTAAACAAAGTTCCGGATGGGCAAGAGACTTGAAATTTGAAACATAGCTCACAAATGGATGACAATGCAATATTATATCATTTAATTTTCATATTTCCCTCTGGGCTACGCCCCATGTGCTTCCAAATTTTCAATGTTTACATTTTGAAAGAATATAAATATATCAATTAATTTAAGTCAGCTGTAAATACTTAAATTTGACAGTTCGAAGAGCAGAGGCACAGGTTATGCTCCCAAGAGATTCTTTATACAACAAACATTTCAAAATGAAAGATAAACAATCTGATTGCAGATATAAAGGTGTTTGTTAATAATGTTATTTCTTATTTATTTGGTATTCTTTAAAGCAAACAATAAATTAAATAGATTTATATATTTATTGTTAGTAGGTAGGCCATAAATTCAATCT